TTCTCAGCATTGCTACACATACTCATCCTATTTTACAATGCAATGGCTCACCCCTCAACATGGCTGTATGACACCAATGACTATCACCAGTGACCCTTTGACATACTGTATACGGTATATATGGATGTTTACTATCTGCCTCATTCCACTAAAAAGAGGGCAGATATTTTTGTATTATGTTCACAGTTTTACCCCGAACACCTAGTACCCTGCCTGGCACACAGTATGTACTTTGTAAATATTTGTTGAAAGAAATGAATGAATTCACAATCTTGTCCCTCTGAACATAGTTCAGCAAAAGATTTCAAGAGAGGATCTTCTGCCAGATATGGTGGTACACACCTATAATCCCAGTTATTATGGAGTCTGAGGTAGGAGAATGTCAACTTGGAACTCAGCCTCAGCAACTTAAGAGATTCTGTCTCAAAATTTCTTTAAAAAGGACTTGGATGTACCTCAGAGGTACAGCTCTTGCACGAGCTCACAAGCTCAAGGTCCTACCATTGACTCCCAGCACACACACAAAAATATAAAATGTGTGTGTGTGTGTGTGTGTGTGTGGCATATATATATTTCTTAACTTCAAGTCTAGTGTGTTTTGGGTCATGAATCGAGGCTTTTGATTCCCCTAATCCCAGGCCTCTTAACCTTTGTATCTTTGAGAACTTCTTTCAGAATTTGATGAAAGCATTAGGTCCCCTCCCCTCTAGCAAAATGTTATGTGTATACCAACTCAACAATTCCTACCTCCTGTCCCTTGGCTCCAGGTTTAGGAACTACTGATATGACTGATGTATTTTTAAGTTTTCTCTGAGCAACTTTTCTTTCTTTCTTTGATGGTAATAATTCGTGGTCTGTGCTCTTCATTAAGCAGTTGGGTCCAAGAAAACAACAAGGGTAGAATTTAAGACTTCCTTCTGCCCTCATATCATGCTGATTGAGTAAGGGACTTTAGCCACATACAATGGCAACCAGGAGGAAGTACAGAGGAGGCAAAGGATTAGATACTTCAGGTCAGGAAGTTCAGGAAAAAAGGTTGATAGGACAATCAGATTATTCTGATCTTGCTACTTCCATACAAACCATTCAAATAATTCTATGTGAACATTTCCAAATAGCCACCTGAAGGGACCATCATCCCATAGCCATGATGATTAACCTTTGACCAAATTACTGAAAATCACTCTATTCTCCCTTACCTTACTGTAGTCAAATGAGACACTCTTCACTGTAAAGAGCACTTGACTGGGGGGGGGGGGGGGCAATCTTTGGATAAGTCAATTACCTTTCTTTGTTTCTCAAATCAGGACAAAGCTTAGCCAATCTAACCCACTAGAATATTAAACAATAATAAAAAAAAAAACTAAGTGAAGTAGTACACAACTGCTTGTTCTGAAATAGTAACAGCTAATCCTCCCAAGAAGATGGGGCCAGTTATGGGCCACTTTGGTGAATTTCCCAGTTTCATGTAAAGTACATAGTAAGTGCTTACTAATTCCAACTATTGAATTTAGTGTCACTAATCTACTACTGTCCAGTTATACCTCAATTTTCTCTGAAATATAAAAACACCTAATCTATGGCACAATATATATTGTATACAATTTCTAAATATTGACAACTAATAACTTTTATCTCTGTGCAAATCTGGGTGACTTTAATTCTTTTATCTACATTTTTCTATAACTATTAAACTTTAAGTGGTTGTATATTATTCTTAAATACAGGAATTATGAACAACTTAAATAAAGCATTATTACCGTGCGTTTACAGATTTTTAGTATGATGAAGACAGAACCTTCCTTGGGAGGCAGCAACATACAAATCATTAAATATATCCTAAAACCAGAAGTATGTTGACTATTCCAAAAAAATTCTGTATATTCAAGGTTGATTAATACAGTTAAAAATTTTTACATGCAAAAATAAAAATATTCCTATTTGGGGGACCAGTTTTTGAAGTAAAAAGTCTTGACCTTTTGCCGAATTAGAGCATAAATCTTCCAAGCCCTCTGCCTATCCTAGAGATTGCTCACTTTAGATAAACAGAAGGCACGTCCTTGAAGATTTTGCTTCCTAAAGTTTCTATGAATCCATGGGGTCAGCCTGGCGGTCAAAGGTAAAATGAGGTCTTTTCCCACAGTTGGAAACTAGGTGCATAAAAAAACTAAACTGCTATTCAACTTATACTATTTGGCATTATACATCATTTCAATTTTATGTTTTATTTTGTTTTTGGTGATGCCTAAGATGGAACCCAGGGCCTTCTGCGTGCTAGGCAAGTGTTTTCACACTGAAGCTGTATTCCCAGACCTTCAATTCTGTCTTTTTGAAGATGCACTAAATTAAGGTTACAGGGCCTTTCCACAAGGCCTAACAGATACAACTCAGCATTGGAACCTTTTTCCTTTTTACAAGGGTTCTCTACCACATCATAAAGCCTAGCCAAGGGATTCTTTATCAAACTGTCAGATCAATAAACTGCTCAACTTTTTTAAAAAATCACCTAATAATAAAAAAGTACTTATTTATACTGAGAAAACTGTGTCTTCAGAAGTTCTGCACTGTCAATAATTTTTAAAAGATTAGAAAATAATCTTAGATTTTTAAATGGTTAACTACTGAAAACCTTAAGTTAAAATTTACATTAGCTGCATCAAAACACACCTAACATGAGATAGTGACTTTTCCACCCTGCAATTCTTGTACAATCTATCATTTGTTATCCATTTACTGAAAACATTTCCAAAGGGGAAAAAAGGAATACAAATATTCATCTGTGCTGCATGTTTTTCAAATAGCACACATTTTAACTGAAAGAAGTGTCACTTCCAGAAAACACTGGAATAAAGAGTCATCTCATGTAGCCTTTATTAAACTACAATGATTTTTCATTTCTGCTATACATATAAATTTGACAGCTTTAATCAGCTTACATTTCCTGTAGGAATTAGGCCAGCTAATAGTTAAAGAAACCACAAGTTACTTTTTAGGACAGAAGACATGTTATTTATAGATTACTCTAAAAATGCTGGGTGTACATAAGTCAAAATGAATTACCTTTACTTTTCATCAACAAAATGGGAATGAATACGTGGATTTAAAGAAATGACGTTTTTCCAAAAGTATTTTCAGAATTGGTCCTTAAACTATAAACTTGTAATCCAGCATCATCTCAACTTTATCTTGCAAGGGATAGGGGACAAGTTTACCAGCACCCAAGATGGCACTGTCACAAGCAACACTTCCCACAATAGCCACCATTTTGAGCAGCAGGGTTTAATTAGACTACTTAACATTTTATCAACTAAAAGGAAATGTAAGGCATGAGAATAATTGTTAAGCATCTCCTGACTTATAGAATTCTCAACCTTTAATTTTTGCAGCCGTTTCTCTTTTTTGGTCAATATAAAGAGTGTTGCCAGGAAAATTTTTATTTTAGAAATCATGCTTGTTACATCCATGCTCAAACTTTTAAAACAAATGCTGTTGCTGCAAAAAATGCTCAAGCTATTATTACATTTTCCTAAAACCTGGAGGAGCCTACGACTTAATCACATTGTTTTAATCAGCTTAAGAAAAAAAGCCAGTGAGGTTTATCAGTCTACATTCCTCTTCATTCTCCGGTCCCAGCCCTTTTGATCTTTTTATTTTCCCGATTTCATTAACTCTGAAGAGCAAGTTCCCACACTTCATTCATGAGAAGAAAAAGATATTTCCGCAAACACGACTGAATCTAAAAATAAAGGTGAGGCAAAGACCTCAGCAGTAAACGAATTAAAAGCAACCCGAAAATGGCAGAAGAAAGATATTTGGGAGTAGAGGCAACCGCAACGATTAACTTCTCCAAAAGAGTGATTCCAATTTTGCTCGCTGCATCGTCCAACCCTTGGCAGAGCTAAAAACAAAAACTAACCAACAGTACCTTTGTCCCAAGGCAAAAGGTGATAAGTCACTACACAGACTGCTATAGGAAAGAAAGCAATTCAACCTGCCAGCCAATCAAATATTTCACACCCCCTTCCAAAAATAAAAATAAAAGGAGGATGCTGGCTGTTAGTTTGGGCCGTCGTTTGCATTTCGTTCCTCACACTCCCGCCACCTTCTCTGCCACTAAGACCCTCCAATTTTAATCCAGTTTATCACAAAGCCTCGGGTCTGAAAGCACCTTCGGCCTGGCCAGAAAAGCCATCCCTCTTCTCCACACTCGCCCGGAGAGATAATGGTGGTGAAATCAACTCCAAGAGCTTCCCAGGTCCCGGAATAAAAAAAAAAAAAAGGTTGCATATTCCTACTGGAAAGAAGCTATTAAAGAATAACGGAGTCCCAAACTTTCCCTCAGCAGCCTCGGAGCCCCGAGCGAAGGCTCTGCGCGGGGCGGCTTCCCAAACGAGCGCGCCGAGCCCTGCCCCCCCCCCCATTCTCCAGCCCGAAGTTAGCCCCAAATGCCCAGAGAGTTGCGGGCCTCCGGGAGTCGGCAAAGTGCGGCTCCTTCTCCACGCGTCCGCCCGAATGGGGGCGAGCGGGTCCCAGTAAATCCCGCTGCGCCCCCGCGCGTGCGCCCGCACCCCGTCCCCGCCCGGAGCAGCTGGCTCGCCGCTTCAATGGCACCGGGGGGGAGCGCGCGCACGCACTCTCGCCCGGCTCGCCCTCCGCAGAAGTCCCGGGAGAGCCTCCCGTCCCACTCCGACAAAAGCAGATTCCCCCTCCGCCTCTCGCTGCCCGCTTCGCCTCCTCCACAGACCGCGCGTGGGCGCCGTGGGCGTCCGGGCGAACGTCCCGAGCCCGGCGTCCGCACTTCGCGTCCGGTGCTGAGACGCAGTGGCCCCCGCCCGCCCTTCCGCGCCTCGTGCCCGATCGCCAGCCCTTCTCTCGGCTCCGGACTCCACCGAAAGTCTCTCGCGCCTCAGCTCCCCCCGCGCACGACGTCCCGCGGACGCCCCGAGGAGGGACGAAGGAGAAAGGGGCGCAGCGCGCGCGTCGCCCGCCCGACCACTCACCTCGATCTCAAAGTCGGGCAGGCGGAACGCAGTGCGAAAGAGCGAACAGAAGTGTGCGATGGCCGGGACTTCCCACCAGGAACGGAGCTCGCCCAGCCCGGCCGCGCCGCCCTCCTCCGGGCACATCTCCTCGTCGCGGCACCGGCCCCGGGATCGGCGCGCGCCCCGGCTGCCCCCGCTGCCCGCGCTCGGCTCCCTTGCCTCGGACTCCCGCCGCGGCGCGGCGCCTCCGCTGCTCGGACGGCGGTGGCGCGGCGGAGGCTGCTACTCCCGCGGCTGCCGCTGCTCGGCGTGAGCATGAGCCGAAGGCGCGCGGCCGGGCGGGGGGCGGCGGCGGCGCGGGGCCGACTCACTGAGGCGGCTGCTGCTCGGGCTGCCGACCGGGCCCGCGCGCTCGCCCCATCCCGCGGCTGCGGCTGCGGCCGCCCCCAGTCCCATACAATATAATCAACTCACCGCTGGGGAAAACAGATGGGGCTGGGGGCGGGGGGAGGGGGCCGAACAGAGGGCCTGGGGGAGGGGCCGCCCACGAGGAGGGGGCGGGGCTGTCCCTCATCACAACAACAACCCCCGCCCCCGCTCCCCACCCCCGCCCGGACAGCTGCATTGGAAGGAAGGGGGAGGGGAGAGAGAACAGAGCACCCCAAGAGAGGGGAGGAATGTAACTCCAAGGAAGCCAGGTGCACCTCCAGGAACTTTTGCCAAGAAGCGCTCGGCTTTACAGGTGTTTAGAACTGAGGAGTTTAGAGACTTTCATGAGAAAGGACAATAAGGGTCTCTCCCACCCCCCATTTGGCCCTAGTGGTCGCGTCCTTTTAAAGGGCCCGCTGGGTGGTGCTTTCTGTAGGGTCTAGCTCTAGAAGCGTGCACGTGTGGGAGTTCAGTTATTATTGATGCGGAGGGTTAGTATATAGGACGAGTGGGTTGTCCACCCTGGAAATAGGAGGCTTAGAGAGATGAAGTGGTTTCCACCTGTTCTTTAGTGCTTTTATTCCATCCGAGAACGGTGCTTCAAGGCGCTCTAAAGTGGCTCCTTTCTCCAAGGGAAGAAGGTGGTGGGGCTGGTTAGGCTGGAACTAAGTAGGATGGAGGCTAGAGTGCGGCGGGAAGGGTGGGGTAGGGGGAGGCACCAATCAGCAGCCAAGCGGGAAGAGCAATCCCCCTCCACCCCAGGGAATGGACACGTGTGACCGCCCTAGAGAAGACCGGCTCCAAGCCCTGCGACTGCCCTCGCTGTAGCAAAGCTGCCTGCACGAGTGCGCACAATGTGGCTAGAAGGCTGGGGGATGGGAAAAGAAGCTCTAGAATCGGGGGAGTGTGGTCGGGTGGGGGTGGAGACCTGCACGCTCAGGCCGAGGGAATGTGCTCTGGGAGAAAGGTATTGAAGCATGTGCTTTAGAAATGTTAAGTGCCGAAAAGGACGTAGGAATTCTACATAACCGGAAGAGAGAAAAATCACCTCAAAAACAGCCCAGAAGTTTGGAAAAACTACATTGAATGCTTAACTCTTCGTATTTGTTATTGCACTTAGTCATTTAGTACTGCATTCTTCCCAAACTCTCAGAAGGCCCCAGCCCAGTTCTCCAATTCACCTCTTAGGAAACACCGCTCCTGATGCTCCCCCAAAATTAATCAACTGTTTAATGGGTGACAGGCACAACCGCAAAATGCATAGTGGTTAAACCAAGGATCCTCTTTTGGCTTTATGCGGTGTAAAATCTGAGAATGGCAAGCATGAGGAACGAATTTATGTGATAGATTTTAAAGTGGGTTATCTGGGTAACTGTCCCCCACCACTCCCTCATCTATTCTAATCATTTTATTAGCCTGTTGTGTTTTTTAAACGCAGCATTTAGAAACATTAAAAATTTCTTTTGTGAATCAACTAAATTCAAAATACTGGTGTCCCCCACCCCAACAAAAATGAACACACATATAAATGCCGCCAAAGGACAAGGCTATTTATAAAGCACTGCTACTCTGTAGATAATCCATTAATAAGCAAGATGTGAAAGGCCACATGGAATTCATTATATAACCTGAATTCACTGTTTTCTGGACTTCCCTTTTCATCTCCTCAAAGATAGTCTGACTTTCCACACTTTTGTTCCTTTTAACTTCTTAAAAGTGATATTGCCTTTTATCACAATTGTTTCTAATCCATAGTATTACTACTGTTCTTTCCCCAGATTTTCTCTGCTCTTCTGTCTTCGTATTCCTGTCTTTATCTTTTATCATCTTTTAACTATCTAACCTGACCTCTCAATTGTCACTACTTGTCACCCTAATAATAATAGATGGTTAACAATACCAGGAAGCAGAAAAGCAGAAAAGTGAGATGTGGCTACTCTGTAGTCACTGTAGTATGTTTGAACGTGGCTACCAACCCTCACACAAAGGCCCGCCATAAGCAGCAACTCTCTACTACCCCTGCGTCCTTTCTCCATCACAGTCTAGTCCTGGAAATTAACAAAGCTGTCCTGGAACTGGAGGCGCCCCCTAGTGGTGGCCATAGATCTCAACACCTTACTTCCCTCTCTGCCAGTTTCCGCCAAGGGGCTCCCTCTCCGTGGTCATTTGGGCCCGCCATCAGCTTTAAGCCTATTTCCATATGTCATTCGCTTAACTGACAAGTTCAGTCCACAATTTTGGTCTGGTTTCTCCCCTTTGCACTCCTCCCCCCTCCCCAGCCTCCACAGTCTGGAACCAATCCTGGCCTCAGCAACTAAGGAATCTAAAATGTCTTGGTCTGGCTGTAAATCTGAACGCTAAATTCCCTGAGTTCAAACTCCAACCAGAGCTTCCCTTTTAGGACCTCCTCTGATTCCCTCCCATTTTGACTCCTGTCTCTGCAGCTGTTGGAATTGATACCATGAATCTTTGCCCCTGCCTTGAACATATATGTTCCACCTTTCCCCTTGGACTTACCTGCCTCCGATTTGTTTTCTGGATTCATGTCCAGGCTAATCTCATAGAATCCAGATTAATGACCCCTGTTTGGCACTGGCCTGCCTTGCTCTCTCCCTTCAATTCCGAGTGATGTTACACTCCTGGATTTTTCCAGCCTGGCCCATTCTAGCACCCTTTAATTAGTTATTTAGCATCTTCCTTGAAGACAGATAGCTCATATGTCCTTTGTCTTTCTCAATCTTGCTGTTTTGGGCTTGTGAGCCAGTGTCATTAACCTCATATGACTTTTAAAGAAGTTAGAACTAATCCTTTCATTTTCTGCACAAGTCTTTAGTTCTAAATCCTCTTCTAATTAAAAGTTTTTCATTTTTAAGAAGCACACAATGAGGCCAGATAGGGCACAGTGTCACAAGCGTGTACTCCTAGTGGCTCAGGAAGTTAAGGCAGGAGGATCATGAGTTCAAAGCCAACCTCAGCAAAAGCAAGGTGCTAAGCAACTCAGTGAGAACCTCTCTCTACGTAAAATACAGAATAGTGCTGGGCTGTGGCTCCGTGGTCAAATGCCTCTGAGTTCAATCCCTAGCACTCTCTCCCCCAAAAAGCACAATGATTAGTATGACTTTTCTGTTTTGCTTATTGATTAATATTGCAAAAATATTTACATGCATGTCCTCTTGCAAAATATAAAGTAATTTCAGCTATCATAGGACTCATGGGTTCCTGGAAGATAATCTGGGAAACTAACCACCTTCTTTTTTTTTTTTTTCCCCAGTACTGGGAGTTGAACCCAATGGTGCTCTGTTACTGAGCTATATCCCCAGTCCCTCCCTGTTTGTTTGTTTGTTTGTTAATTTATTATTATTATTTTTTAGTTGTTGATAGACCTTTATTTATTTATACGTGGTGCTGAGAATCGAACCCAGTGCCTCACACATGCCAAGCAAGTGTGCTACCGCTGAGCCACAGTCCCAACCTTCCCTCCCTGTTGTTTTTTAAAAATTTGAGACAGATCTTGCTAAATTCCTGAGGCTGACCTTGAATTTGTGGTCCTCAGGCTGTAGCCTTATCCTTGGAATTGTGGGATTACAGGTGGGCATTACAGCACCTGGCCCACCTTCTTATCTCATTATTTCCTTAGGAAAAACATTGCAAGTTCCAAAAGATCAAATGAAATGATCTGATTTCTTTGAACGCTGGAAGAGATGAGACCAATGAATGAAAGTGTGGTTTCTTTTGTAACTACAGATAACTAGGACTAGCATTCAAATCTAACTATTCATCTCAATTTTCTGTCCCAACAGATTATGCTGCTTCTCCTTTCTATTTAAATTGCCTTCCCTCTCCCTTTGTGTACCAGTGAGATCTGGATACTTCTTGTTTCTATCCCAGGGTCAAATTGAAGCTGGTGCAGACTATACCCAGTGTTTTAGAACTTTAATTTGCTGTGGACAACTGAAGTCCAGGCACAGCACAAATTCTTGACACCCCTTCACACATCTCTCTCTTTTTTTTTTCCCCTAAATTTTTTGATGGTGGGGATAAAACTTAGGGACTCATGAATGCTGGACAAATACCCTACCCACACATCCTTGTCTTTCCAAAGGACTGCATTCCAGGCTGGGAATATAGCTCAGTGGTTGAGCACTTGCCTACCATGTGCAAGGTCCTGGATTGAGGCCCTGGGTAGTATCCCCAGCAGGAAAAGGGGAATAATATACCTATTCCCAAAGAGGGGTTATAAACTAGACAAATTTAAAACTTTGGGTCAGGTGCAGTGGTGCACAACTGTAATCCCAGCAATTTGGTAGGCAGAGACAGGAAGATTATAAATTTGAGTCCAGCCTTAGCAATTTATTGAGACCCTGTCTCAAAATAAAAATAAAGGGGTGGGGATATGGTTCAGTGATAAAACACCCCTGGGTTCAATCCCCAGTACCAAAAATCAAAAAAATAAATATTTAAGTTTAGTAAGGAGCCGAGCACAGTGGCACATGCCTGTAATCCCAGCGCCTCAGGAAGCTGAGGCAGGAGGATTGCGAATTCAAAGCCAGCCTCAGCAAAAGCGAGGCGCTAAGCAATTCAGTGAGACCCTGTCTCTAGATAAAAATACAAAAAATAGGAATGGGGATGTGGCTCAGTGTTTGAGTGGCCCTGAATTCAAACCCCGGTACAAAAAAAAAATAAAGAGATTAATAAGTAAATTAGATTAGTGGTGAGAGAATTATAATTCTCTCTAAGGAAAAGCTCTTAGCTCTCCCTTTATCACTTCTGTGAGAGGAAGGACTTGAATTAAACAATCCCTGAGTTATGGATTCTACCTTTTAAGTAA